TACATCAAAATGATGTATAGCTTAATCAGGCCTAAGGGAGTGAAATTATGTTTGACAATGGGTTGACGTATTAACATCACTGAGCAGTGCAATTCTCAACAATTAATATATTAAAATAAAAATTAAATTTTCAATATATTAACTTTTAAAATAGGGAAAACTTCATTTTTACCCATTAAGATTTTGTGATTTATCATTTGACCCCCGTGGTTTTAAAAATAATCACTTAGACCCATTGTGCTTAAATAATTTATCATTCAACTCCCCGTGGTTTCAAACTTTCAGTTAGACTTCTTGTGGTTAAAATTATTTTCACTTAGACCCCTTGTTACAAAAATAAAATTTTTAAAAAATAAAAATTTAAAATAAATTTCCTTCTTTTTATTTATATCCTCACCTAATGAATTTAAGGTTTAAAAAATAAAAAAAAATTCTAAAAAAATTCCCTTATTTTTTTCAAGAAAATAAATTCAAATCAAATATTTTTATTTTATCTATTTTTTACCAGGTGTCATTATAGAATTATCTAAAGAAAGTAAATATCTTTTTTTGATAATGCATATTAAATTTATCTTAAATAGATTTTTTTAATATCATCTTAAATAATTTTTTATTTTTAAAATTAAAATTTTTAAGATAATTTATAAATTAATTCCAAAATAAATTACTTAAAATATTTTTCAAACACTAAATGCATTACATGAGGATATAAAATAAAAAAGAGAGAAAATTTATTTTAAATTTTTATTTTTTAAACCACAAGGGGTCCAAGTGGAAAATTTTGAAACCACGAGGGGTCTAAGTGAAAATTTAAAATCATAGGGGATTAAATGATAAATTATTTTTAGCACAGTGAGTCTAAGTGATAAGTTTAAAATCACAGAGGTCAAACGATAAATTACAAAATCACAGTGGGTGAAAATGAAGTTTTTCCTTTAAAATATTAGAGATTTTTATTTATATAAAAATTAATATATTTTTTAGACACACTAATAAATGGATTTTTATAAAAATTAATATTATGAAATATTTGAAAAAGTTATATAAATTATTTATTAAAGGATATTTTTGTCAAACATATTTATTTTCATCCTTTTCAGCATTATACACTGCATTACCAAATATTAGATAATATTATCCTATACAATATCATGTCAAATGATGAATAATATTAAAATTTATTTAAGTCTTATATAATTAGAACTTATACTGTCGAATCTTATACTATCAAACCTTATCATATAATTTGTATCAAATATGCCCTAAGTGACTAACCCAAAACAATCATTTAATAAATTATGATACTGACACCATAATCAATAATCTTATAATAATATATTATTACAATCATTTTCATTATAAGAAATATAATATAGGTTAAATTAAATACAATGTCGACATAGTAATTTTTGCGGAATATAATTTATCAATACTATTAATTATTTTATGTATTTTGTTCAACATCTTTCTTCCTAATTCAAAATACATTTTTATATTTGGATTAAAAAAATCGTTTTGAATTTTCGGCAATAATTATTAGCCCCTTGGTCCCAATTATTGGGTGCTTTGCTTAAATGGTTAATTCCAATATAAAAGAGGAACAGAAAATGAAAAGTATAATGTTGAATTATTGTCAAGCCAAGCACCGCAGATATTATGATATATATGCAGTGTCGTCATGAGATGGACCCAGCAACATCATTCCCGTCAATTATAATTACACGTGTTCTTTTCTAATAGGTGATCGGTCCTTGTCACACAATTTTTATTCTTAATTTTTTGAATGGTTGCTTCAATTTATTCAAATAATGTATTTCTTTGTATTTTTTTACGGGGATACTAACAAAACAATATAATTCCCTGATGTCGTTCTCATTTCTTTCTATATTATCACCCTAATTAATTGAGCCTAAATAAGCACCAAACCATAAACGGCTCCTTAGAAGAAAAGGAACAGCTCTTGTAGACTTGACTTCAAAATCAACGCTTTCAAACAAACCCTACACGGTAGCTTTTGAATTATGATAGACTTGATTGTGGAATATCATGTTTCCTTTTAAACGGGCTGAGAATTGTTTTATGGTCCCTTTTTTTTATAGGAAAATTCTTTCTCCTACTATATTCTCAAGACGTGGTGGGTTAAAAAAAATGTTTACAAATAAATAAATAACTTATTACACATAATTCAATATCTCACTGGTAGAAAAAATAAATGAGAAATATTTCTCTCATGTTTTATATATATATATGAGCTAACATTTCTCGAGTCATTTGAGAGAAATTTATAGGAAGGATTTTTTTGATATCGGTGTCAAACTTTGAAATTTGACACTAAATTATAATCATTGATTTCTGTCAATTAACAATTATAATTCACATCAATCAAACTTATTAATTAACAATAAATAATAATTTTTTATTAAAGAAAATCAACGGTTAGAATTTAGTTTCAAATTTTAAAATTTGATATCGAAATCAAACGATCTTCTCTCTCGAAAATACGTAGTTAAAAAATACGGCTGTAGATAAGTTTCTCTCAAATGACTCGAAAAATGTTAGCTCATATATATATATATAAAACATGAGAGAAATATTTCTCATTTCTCTAATGAGTTTGATTTGAAAAATGATAACCGTTGATTGGCGAAAATCAACGGTTAAGATGTGGTAGTAACATTAGTAGTAATATTATTTGGTTGTCACAATATCCTATTCCTTGTTTAATAACATAAAAAGTTGTGAAAAATAAAATAAAATTAAAGAGCTATCAACACGCCACAATGTATAGTTTAAAATTGAAAAAAGTGTGACAGGGTTTGTATAAAATATAAAAGGACCAAGTGTCAAGCGATGTGGGGGGTAAAATGAGGGACAAGATGCACAAGTGCCAGGCATTGGGTAAACATAGTGATAGGTGTCAAATTGTAATTTGGTTGTGGTCATTGCGAAAGGGTCAAGCTGTGCTGTGATCTTGTGTGCCATTCGTTCAATCATTGCCCTGTTGCTGGGAGCTCCAATTTGTGTCCACGTTACTCGGTCATCACTCAGTTGGGTCCTACTCTTCCTGCCTTTACATTATCTTTTTTTTAACTTCATTATTTACATTACTCTTATTATAAAACTTGCGCTTGTAAGTATTTGAAGACAGTGATAAATTATCCAAAGGAGATATTACATTTCCAATGTAAAAGCCCTCTATTGATAAAATATACTTGAAATAGAATAAAAGGTTAAAAATAATTTGCTCATTGAAATTTTATTAAAAAAATAGGTTCAAACAGAACGTAAAGGCCTGTGAGATTATTTATTAGCCAGTAATTTATCCGGTATCTTCAAAACCACAGCTTGAATATGGCGTTTAATTTGAAGAAGGAAAGGAAGAAAATGACACATTATGTAAAATTCTTTAAAACTCTTGCTACCACGTCGTACGTGCTACGACGAATGGGGAGAAACCGCAACCACCATCAAAAGGTTACAATATTATATAATAATGTAACCTCAGTACAACATATTCTAATTATTATCTATTGGCTAATCCTTTGAAATTAAAATATTCCTAAAGTTTAATCCTCTATCTTTCTATCTCACCCTTGGATGTTAATTTTTTCTTATTATTTCCACCCCCCTTTTTAAGTAATTTTTCCCGTTTTTAAAACGCAATGCTGGCCGGCTAACAGGTAATTGGGCATTCATAATTAAAAATCGGAAAAATATCTATCTTTTTTAAAGATATAAATTTATATCCTTTTAGATCATAACCGTTGATTTTTATCTGTCAACGATTATAATTTATTGGGCCAAACTTAATGGGTCAAATTTATTATTAGTTAATTAAAAAATTTTAATTTAATAAATTATAATCATTGATAGACGAAAATCAACAGTTAAAATCTAAAATAAAATAAAATTATATCTTTTAAAAAAATAGATGTTATTCCCATTAAAAATATGGAATAACGATTTGACAAATGTCACTTAAATTTGGCTCGATAATAATAGTGCATCAAGAGGGAATAGTCAAAGAGTCAATTTGATTGGAATGCCAATACCTCGATTTCATAGAACAACTGCGGATGTCCAATCAAATTGATTTAACCTTCATTTTCATATTTATCAAAAATTGATTGATTTTTATGTATAGAAAGAAGCAAAATATAAGTGAGGTCCAACTACGCTACTACACTAGTGTCACCGGCAAATCTTACAAGATCTAGGTATAGAAGTGGATGAAATTGTAAATTAAGCTTCTTTCAATGTTTTGGCACCCACCCCTAGATACTCACCCATCCATGTAGTATGAAATAATTTAACAATAATAATAATAAGGGAGAACTAAATTAAAGTAAAACAATATAGATCACATATATATACTGTCACGTATTTTAATATTAAAATATTAGAGCTAATTAAAAGAATTGATTCAAGTGATATATATTTGATTTTGTTTTAAAAAAATTACTTGAGAGAGCTAGTCTCACCATGATATAAATATTCTCGACTCGAACAAGGTGATTTCCCATAAAGAATAGTCGCGGTTTATAAAATAAGAGATATGTTATTCTACCTACTTTTTTTTATCTACTTTTGCCTACGACTTTAAAATATCATTAGATCATAATTTCAACTAATCTTTATTTTTTTTTCTTTTCTTGAGATTCTGATCTAACGGTGTTGGAGAATAATAGACAAAGATATACAGAAAAATGATAAGTAGAATAACCTATCACATAAAACAAACATAAAAATGCTAGAAATAAAGATAACATCTTTTATTATATTTTTATCTATCAATTAACAATCTTTACCTAATTTTTAATTCTATATTAGTCAGAGTTTAAGACTATTTTTTTTTTCCTTCAAGGAAGGTGTCAATATTAGATTATTACTCTGTTAGCACTAATAATAGCAAGACTACAAACTAGTATATTCTTAATATCCTATATATCACTGGGCACACATACACACATTTTTGTTGGTACAGTGGGGAAGCAAGTAAAATGCTATAAAGCCTGAAACATCTCGTTTTCTCTCTCTATTTTTTTTGGAGTATAGAGAAAGAAAATGCGTGACGTGGGCAAGATGAACTTGATTCCCGCAAGCAACGGCTCAGATTCGCTTTGAGGGTCGACACGTACCGTTTATCTGTCACGCCTAGTTCCCACCTTTCCTTCTCAGTCACACACACACACACACACAAACACACACACACACACACACACTCGCCCTGTGTTTGTGTGAACTCATCTCACAAGCTAAGTCACAACTTGTCTTACACAGTTTCTCTCAATTTGGATTTTGGAGTTGTGTTGCTATCTATTATACACCTCTATGAACTGTTTTTGACACACAACACAACACAACACAACACAAAAGAGGAACAAGATGTTGCTTGGAAAGCGTCCTCGACCACCGGTTATGAGAAGAACAACGAGCATGAGTGGAGGTATGGCGGTGGACATGCAAGGAATCAACAACTTGGAAGCTGAGGAGGAAGATGGAATCAAAGATCCACCACATCATGCGGTGGCGATGGGACCACACCATGGATTGGTCCCTGATCAGACCAAAACCTCAAATAATCAGAACCAAACAAGCAATTGCAACAACACTTCCCATGTTGTACACACTGCTCACTTTCTCAGAACTTGTGGTCTCTGTAAGTGTCGTTTGGCACCTAGTCGTGACATCTATATGTATAGGTATGTATCTTATTATAACCTTTTGTGTTCCTTATTTAATATATATTTACAATTAATTATCTCTTCATTCTCTATTACTTTCATCGTGATATATTATTATTATTATTAATATTCTAGTGCTTTCAATTCGTTCAATATTTATATATCAATCTTTTTTATTGAAACAAAATCATTAATTAATTTCAGGGGGGATACAGCATTTTGCAGTTCGGAGTGTAGGGAGCAGCAGATGAAACAAGACCAGAGAAAAGAAAAAGGGAAGGTGCTGTCCTCCAATAAAGAAGACCACCGTGCATCACCACCCACCGTGGCGGCCACGGCCACGGCCACCGTCAAGGCTTCTGCTAAAAGTGAAACGGCTGCGGCTTGTACTTGAATGGTTGCACACTTAATTGAAACTGAATATTTGAAGAGAAAATCAATTAAGAAAGGAAAAGGTCATATGCTAACTCATCCCTCTCATGTTTACACTTATGGACAAATGCAACCCCATATGGTTCTTTCACACCTGCGATAGTGATTCTTATTTAACATAATTCCGCTAGAAGATTGTGCACAAAAGGTGTGGTTTCTGTATTACGTATGTGAACTTTATTAGTCCTTGAATCTAAAATTTCCCATGTATCTATCTATTATATGTTGTCTTACACATACCCTTTATTTTATCTTTAATTTCTCTTTACCTGTTAAAACTAAAACAAGAATTAATATATGTAATTTCTGCTTTGTGATATATATTTGCAAATGGAAAGGGTAGAATATATTGTTATATAATATTGTTGAATACAGAAAAGTATAGGTATGATAACGTATTAAATCGCTTATGTTTATATGTAGCTAGCCTATCTTCACAAGCAATGATGGTATTTGTATAGATTAATACTTATGGAAGAAAATTTATTATTATTTTATTCTCCCATTTCATTCAAACTCAATATCATATTACAATTAATAATAGACTAAATCAAAACCCAGCTTCTTCTGTCAATAACAGCGCTGCTAATGCTTTGTTCTTTGGGTTTCAGTAGTGAAAATTTGATAACTTGTCAGCACCCTGGTCCCTGGATGCTGATCGATGGAAGCAAACCTTTCCACCGAAACAATAATTAGTTATATTTAGCGCCCTTTTAATACAATAGGAAATCCTTTATTCGTAAAGCATGTGATTATCATTACAGTTGCAAAAACTATAATACTGCTTTTGCTTCGCCTTCCACTAAAATTTTCACTTCGTTAATATATATATATATATATATATATATATATATGATTAATAAGTTTGATTTCCAATAAATAATAATCGTTCATAGACAGAAATCAATGGTTAAAATTTGGTGTCAAGCTTCAAAGTTTCTTACCGGTGTCAAATGATCATTTCCCATATATATATATATATATATATATATGAATAAAGGATTTCTCCAGTCACTGGAGATAAAGTTATCTTCAATGAGTCAAAAATGACGTCGTTTTAGGACAAAAATTAAGGTATTTTTGTAATTATAATATATTGCAGGGTTATATTAGTTTTCACCGTTATAATTTTTTAATCTTATAACCCAAAACGACGTCATTTTGAGCTCATTGAAAATAACTTTATCTCCCGTGACTAGAGAAATATTTTTTCACATATATATATATATATATATATATATATATATACAATAGAGAGAGAAATCATACTCTCGTGATGAATTTATATCGAAAATATGTCTTTGTTTTTTTTTTTAATTCGTGGGCCCCAATTTGTTTGTATTCCAACATGAGAGAAGTAATCTCCATATATGGTTTATTGTTTTTCATGTTATAAGAGAGAAATTTATTTCCTACACACATAAAAAAGTGTGTGGGACCCAAATTTTCTTTGTCTCTCTTTTCTTCACTTGATCTCATATGCGTCTTGCACACCTTTATGTGTGTATGAGATAAAATTATTTCCTATAGTATGAGAAACATTAATCTTATATATATATATATATATATATATATATATATATAGTTGTTGTAAGTACAACAATGATATGTGTATGATTATGATTTTTCACATTAAATATTTTAACTTATATATATGAAAAAATTTCATTACTGCAAGTAAAGCGACCATAGAAAATTGAACCTATATATATATATATGGATTTGATTTTTCTCATGTTATATGAGATAATTTGTCTCATGCAACACACAAAAAATGGGTAGGATCCACTTTAAAGAAGAGATAGAAAGAAAAAAGATGGGTCCCACCCACTTTTTTGTCTGTTGCATGAGACAAATTGTCTCATGTAATATAAGAAATACATTTTCCTATATATATATATTATATATATATATATAGGGTAATGATTTCTCCAGTCACCGGAGATAAAGTTATCTCCAGTGAGCTCAAAACGACGTCGTTTTGAGGCGAAAATCAATGTGTTTTTGTAATAGAATATATTGCAGGTTATATTAGTCTTTGTCATTATAATATTTTAATCTTTGTCATTATAATATTTTAATCTTTGTCATTATAATATTTTAATCTTATAACCCAAAACGACGTCGTTTTGAGCTCACTGGATATAACTTTATCTCTCCGGTGACTGGAGAAATACTTTTCTTATATATATATAAGGAAGTTATTGTCTCATTTTACATGAAATAACTATCTCATGTTGTTCTCACATCAAAAATTGTGTCACTATTTTTCTTTTTTTAATAGGTGATGGACCCCACCACATCACGTGTCTATGATAGGAGATAACTATCTCCTATGACATGAGAAAATAGAATCCCATATATATATATATATATATATATATATATATAAATAGAATCCCATAGGCAGTTGACGAAATTAAAAGCAACCAAACTGGATACCAAAAAAATAAAAAAAGCAACCAAACTAAAACAAATGTTGGACCCACATTAAAATTGAAAAGCCTTGGAAATAAGCTATCAAACAAAAAAGAAAGGAAAAAGAATCTGCATCGTAATTTATTTACGGGAAAAATATATATTATGTTGTGGGAGAATTCTAATATCATGATATAGATACATCAGGGACAGTGGCCAAAGTGCTATTGTTGGCAAGAAAAACACCAAAATGTCACGCCAACAGTAAATTTTGTCAAAATGTCTCGTGACATATTTCGCTACACTGTGTAGTGAAATATGTGTGCAAATAATTCGCTACACAGTGTAGCAAAATATGCTGCGTCAGAATGCACAGAACCAAAAATGCCATGTGTCTAACAGGGAGATTTTCGCTACACAGTGTAGCGAAATATGCCACGTGACATTGTGACAAAATTTACTGTTGGCGTGGCATTTTGATGCTTTTTTTTGTCTAACAGTGACATTTTGACCACTGTTTCGATACATCAAGTGTAGATCCAACTATTTAAAATAAAATAAAATGAATAGCACGTCTTTTTATGATATGTGTATAAAGAGTTTGTTTTCTCATCTAACGTAAGAAAAAACAAACCCCTTTATTTATTCCACTGTACTTTATCGCCCTATCTTTTGAGTGGTTGATGTGAGGGACACGGAAGCGTGCACATTCCCTTCCCTTTTGTTTTTTCCTCGGAAAAATAATTAAAAATTTAAATTAACGAAAGAAATATTATGAATGAACGAAGGAGATTGATCGCACATGCACAATTGCACATCAACTCATCACCCTTATTAAAGATTCATGCCGGGACTTTGCTAGGTGATGTCAAGTAGCACTCTCTTTACCCTCGGTCTTGAAATGCTTTTTTCTAACGTCGTTTTTTTTTTCCGTGGTCATTTACGTTTTGAAATCTCAATAAATGGATTAAATAGAAATCCCGAATAACAAGTGGACTTAACATTACAATACATGGTAATCTAATATTTTAAATCATTGAGTTTATGGGTTCGTTACTTTTTTATTCTTAACTATAATGTGAGAATTAAATATTTATCACTTATACTTAAATTTTCAGTGTATGTTAATGTTATGGTACAATGAGCCGCCATGCGGTCCATCTCAAAATCAACAAAAGGCCCATTTGGATAAATTCTAAAAAAATGACTTTTTTTCATTGTTTTTTTTAAAAGAATTTTTTTAAATGATAAAATTATTTTATATTTGGATGTATGATCTGAAAATCACTTTTACGTAAAAAAATTATTTGGATGTTAAAATAAAAAAACAATTTTTATATATAAAATTACAATAAAGAAAAGATAAAATAAATATGATAAGATGAGGTTAAAATTATATTTTACAATTTTGTATTATCTTATTTCCAAAAAAAAAATTATATTATCTTTTAATTTCTGCTTTTTTTCAAAAACAACCAACTACTGGCTAAAAGAAAAGAGCATTTTAACTTTTATTTTAAATTTTACTTTTTTAAAAAGTTGTTAGCCAAACATCTAAAAATTCTTAAAAAGACTTTTATTTCTTAAAAAAAAACAACTTTTTTTATGAATAAAAGCCCATCCAAATGGACACAAAGTATGGAACTCTTTATAAAACAGAAATATCACCTTACATGTAAGTTTCGTGAAACCCTAATTTTTTTGTTGTCATTATGCACACACTTATGCACAATCCTCCTCCGTGTGAGTACATATATCCAATATCAACCATTGATCCTGTATCAAATAATTTAATTAAATCAAAAGGAAAATAAGTAAAGTGACAAAGATGATAATGGCAGCCTCATAGCCCAAGGAAATTTAAATCGTGTTGGCCATAGAGGTTAAAATTTTAGAGTAGGACAAGAGATCTTCAATTGTCATTATAATTGAAACCGACTGAAATGGGCTTTTGTGGTGAAAGCCATGGCCGTGGGGACATGTGGGTCCTTCGCATCACACAAAAAGTCATAGCTCTTTTTGTCACACTGCGACCGCGTGTATCCTCACTATAATTGACTATCGTCTCTATTGACTCTCCTAGTTCAAGAGGTCCCACACAATATGGCCTTTTTATCAATAATGCAGTTCGGATACTACTTAATCACCTTCCATCAGTGATTCTTTATTTTAATTTTACATGGAAAGTTAAAAAAAAGAAAAAAAAAAAAAAAAGCTAAGCAACAAAGCGAAGGTGTGACTGTGAGACGCACTACATGTGTAAGAAATTGAGGTTATCAATTGCGAGTTCCCTTTTTAAAAAGTTCCACATCGAGGAGATACCTAGTTCAAAAACCCCATGATCTGATTTAAACAGCGGTCCAATCATCTGATACTGGAATCACAAGACACTATTTCATAATATTCATCAGGTACATGTAGATTTGAAGATCTGAATTTCAACATATGTTCAGATTCTCTTTGGACCGTTTATTGATCGCTCTGTTTGTATCTGTGGGATATTTCTTGTCACATATTAACCCTCACAATCTAGAGGCTTTGTCAATGCCAAATACACAGATCTTTAATGGAAAAAAAAGGTAAACATTTACAATGTCCCGTTATATTATAAAAACAAGATGTTCCTTCAATTGGGCCCATTACTCAAGGATTATGTAGCCTCTATTGAAGATTTGAAGGCTTGAAGCTTGAACATACATTACATACTAATATTGTGTGGTGGTTGTGGTGTACGTAGAGCTGGCCAAACGGGCTCGGTTCAGCGGGCCAATCCGTCTCATTAGTTAAATGGAATGGAGTGGATTGAGTTTTTCAACTCACTTTCAAAAGCGAGGTGGAGCGGGCTAACTCATTTTTTGATGGGTTGATAGCGGGGCGGGATGGGATGGGACAGGACAGACCGTCTACTTTGCCACCTCTAGGTGTATGCGGTGAGAATTAAAATTTAAAGAAATGGAAGTGATTGACTAATAAAAGCAAAAAATCATGACAAAACGCATTGCTACTTCTCATTCATCTCAATTATATCGACTAGTAATGAATAAAACTTAGGGCCTCTTATTGTTTATCACAGGATAGCTGATGTCACCGCCATCATGCTATTCTAATTAAGACACAAAATAGATAAACGAAACGTTGATTGCACTAAATAACTTATTACTGTGGTAGCTTAATTTATTTATTTTTTTGGATAACGTTGCTTAATTTTCAGATCCAAAACTTTGATTCTATGTTAATTATGTTGAAAAAAAAACATATGCTTTTTTAAGACTTGTGAAAAAAAAACTGATTGTAATTTGTTAAGTTTTAAATTATTGCTTTTTTAGACTTGTGAAAAAAAAAAAGATTGTTTTTTTTTTCTTTTTTTGGTAGAACAAAACATCTACTTTTGATTTCTTCCCTCATTGGGCAGAGCCGCACAAGGTTGGACCAACCCATTTTAACAACGCGCCAAAGACTAATGGACCCTGCTATTTGCCACCCAAACCAGCCTTAAACTTGCTTTGGTTGCGGCAAGAAGATAATACTATGGAGATTCTAGGTGTCCTTTCTTTACTCTTGAAAAACACAAAACTAAGAAAAATTGTCCACAAGCGACCTGATAACTATCCTTCACAAACATGATTGAAACCTGAAAGGATGTCCCTGCGATGCCTTTATATTTGGACCAATGGTCCAACTTGGGGACTGGTACATCATTTATTCATCACCCAAGCTCTTATGTTTTGCCAAAAGGGTAGTGACTAGTGATAGTGAAGCAAGGCAAAGAACCATGACGGTGTCTCTATCAAGGTATTAAGTTGTCTGTACCACGTGGCTTATTTCGCTAAATAATTCAGCTCTGGTATGGCTGGTTGCGATATTTGATTTTTTTTTTCTTTTTATACCTGATAAGTCTTCAAAAGAGACTCAAAACTTTTAATTGCTGGCTTTCAATTGAAGAAAAATGAGAAATTAAGTTTTTATGTATAATGCAATTTATGGTTGTATTATGTTATTTTGGTACAAGACTGGGCTGATTAAATTGAATGTTAATGCAGATTTTTTCTTTAAAAAAGCCCAAAAGATCAAGTTAGAGGAAGCCCAAACATGAGAGCATGGCTTTTATAAAAATCACCCCAAGTCAGTGACTGAATGTAAGGGCAGAAATGTAAATGAAAGTAAATGCTGAGTAAAGAAAGAGCAAGACTCAACCACACTCGATTGTGTAAAATCATCGAACCACTAAACCATTTGGTGTGTTGTTCTCACCCCATATATGCATGTGGCAAATATGGACATGGAGCGGAACTAGGGGTGGTAAATGAGTCAGGGGCTTTTGATTCGGCTCGTAAAGGCCTGAGCTCGTTTAATAAAAACTCGTGACTCGTGTTGGAACCAGGCTTGGACTTGTATAAAAGCTCGTTTAATAAAAAAGTCTCAGGCTCTAATTCAGAAGCTCGGCCTTAGAGCCTCCCAGGCTAGCCTAGTATATAAATATTTATTTATATTTTTTATACTACTTGTAATAACTCTCTCTCATCAATTTATTTTACCCCATTTTATTGGTTTAACAGACTTTTTGAATGATTTTGTTCTATATTATGCTATTTGGATATATATTGAATTTATGTATATTTATGGAATTACTAGTGCTATTCTATATTATCCTTCATCCTCCTTCACACAAACAAACCCACAAAAACTCATTCGTTCCACTGTGCACTGCTCGTTTGTGTCAATTTATTTTTTACTTTATTTTTATTTTTGTTGACACTTTTTTTATAATGGGCTAAGATAATATAATCTGTTATCTATCTTCTCTCACTTTAATTTTATTTATTTATTGTAGACTTTGTAAATTATTGCTGCAAATTGGAAGCTAAGGTTTCTATCTGGAAATTAATTTTTTGTGGAATTCTGTTCTCTTATTTTTATTCTTTAACATGCTAACGGGCTAAGACAGGCTTCACACAGGCTTTTATTTTTTGTAAATAAACCAGGCCACAGGCCAATATTATATTTGTAACAGGTAACAGGCTAAGACCAGTCGGACACGTTTAAATACAGGCTTGGCCCGTTAAGATCAAAGTTCAGCTCGGCTCGGCCCGTTAACACCCTAAGCGGAATCATGTCCATATATGAAAATCAAGGGATGTAAAAACCACTAAATTTTAAACAAAATATAATAACATATCCATTGCTATTCAGGTTAGTCTTGTGATTATTTCATTTTTATTTTTATTATTATTTTATTTTTCATCCAAATTGAGTTCTAATAATTACAATTTTGAGTCAAGTCAAATGTCAAGATCATTGTAGAAACGATAACGGGGACTTAAATGCATTTTGTATTACTTATTGTTATGTATATTTGTGTGCATTCTTGCATAACTGTTAGAGGCAACAATACCAACCCCAATTTACTTTTTTGAAAAGAGTCATCCCCGATATCTATTGAAAGAGAATGATGTTTTTCATTTTCAATCAGCCATTTGACTGAATGAATACAGTACATATACAATTTTTTCAAATAAAACGATCCTACCCTCTGCTACATTTATGGCTAAAGATACGATTTACCCAAAACATTCGGAATCAAAACGTATAAATTAATATCCTAATGAGACCTATAATTTCTCTCCATTTACTCTTAATTGACAGCTCACACTAACATAAATTGAGCTTCTAATCAATTCCATGATTTCTCTAATTGACAACTCACCAACAATATTTTCATAAATTTCAACTCTTTAAACCGGTTATGAAGTGAGATTAGTTAGCGATATTGATTCTTTTATCACTGGAAAATCTTATCTGTCTAGCACTTTGGCAGCATGCTGATATGTACTAAATCCCAGAATAAGTGTAACAATTCGAATAGACGAAAGCGGGCGGCCCGCCCCGCTCCGCCATCAACCTGCCAAAAAAATGAGTCAGTTCGCCCCGTCCCGCTTTTGAAAGTGGGCTGAAAAATCCAGCCCGCCTCGCCCCGTTTGGCGGGTTGCGGTTGGCCCGCCAGCTCGAGCCTATTTTACACTGACCCGCCTCAATCCACCTATGTCCGCCATTAACCCGCCAAAAAATAAGTCCGCACCGCCCTGCTTTTGAGATGAGTTGAAAAACTCAGTCCGCCCCTCCCCGTTTGGCGGGTTGGCCCGCCGATCCGAGCTCGTTTTGCCGGCTCTATAATGATATCACACATAAAATACTGCAGGATATAAAATATTGACACTGATAACGAAGAGATAATCTCAATTGGTTCGCTTCAAAATAACAGTCATTGACTCATTATCGTACCAACTTGTTATAATTATACGCTACCAGCTTCTTCCTCATCTGAATGAAACTACATATGGGATACAGAAAATTTTCTTGTTTATACAACTTACGAGTTACCACTCATCTTCAAGAAGTTAGTCGAAGATAAAGCAACATAATACATCAACGGAAACCGATTGCTCAAAGGGTAACCTTAATTTCAAAAAGTCTAAAAAGTTCATTATCACTTCGGCCCGCACTTAATTACCAGGCATATAGGAAACAAGGCATAAGCTCTAGGCACCAAAAATTACGACTCCAATATTTCAGAATGATTAAAGCCATGGTGCCTAGATAAAATGAAAGGTGTTTGGGTTATTCTGACCCAATGAAAATCTGCTTGAGACTTGAGAGAGAGGCTTATAGCAGAATAGTTGATTGCAGGAGGATTCAATATTTTAATTTGGCTTGTGAAGAACTAATTGTGACTATCGTTCTGTAGATTTTAGAGATTACTTAGACGTTATACCGTGTCAAAAATACTAAAAAAGAGAAAAGGGTAGAACGATAAACACCAACAGAATACAAAGTACACAAATTAATACATTCATGTACCTAGAAAACAAAATATGCCCTGCTCTAAAAGTAGGCACATACGAGCAAAGGACAAAGTACACAAATTCATACATTCATGTACCTAGAAAACAAAATATGCCCTGCTCTAAAAGTAAGCACATACGAGCAAAGGACAAAGTACACAAATTCATACATTCATGTACCTAGAAAACAAAATATGCCCTGCTCTAAAAGTAGGCACATACGAGCAAAGGACAAAGTACACAAATTCATACATTCATGTACCTAGAAAACAAAATATGCCCTGCTCTAAAAGTAAGCACATACGAGCAAAGACAAAAATATTATCCTTGTGAAAACATCAGCAAACATAATCTAAACAGAAAAAAGAGGGGAAGGGGGATAAGTTTTCTGAACATCAAGCCAGATTATTCCAACTATGATTCTTTCCCATGCTTCACTTGTACTCGAGAATCATGTTATTCTCAGGAGCCAATCCAACACAAGCTCTCAGAATGTTTTCCAGCATTGCTCGCTGCTTTGACAGTGCATTCACCACTGGTGTACCCGGTGGGACCTGTAAAAGTTATTTCGTGAGTCACCTCACCAACTTTTGGGAAAAAAAAGTTTGAAATTCATTTAATAATGATTTAACATTATATCTGGATCCATTGTACCTCAATACTAAGCTTACCGGTTATGTTTCTTGAACTTAATTTCTATATGAAAATAAATAAGTATGTGCATATGTACTCAACATTGAATCAGATAAGATTGAACTCACCAGAGGAGCCTTGGTCAGATAACTGAGGATGGTGGCAACAGGGTGGAATGAGTGAAACTTGTCCTGCAGGAAACCACATCAGTGTATATAACTCAGAAGGCTAAAGATAATACAGGGATAATAGTACAATCAAGCAATGAAATTATTAAGCAATGCATACATACCTCAGCTTCAGCTTTAAACTGAATTCGAGTGCTAAGCTCGGCAAGAAGGACCAAGTCCAAGATAATAGGAGCAGCTAATAGTGAATCCTCGCATGTGTTGTGCAACACAATCGTGCTCTTTCCACCCATGAATATCTCTGAAGTGTACTCATCCATGGCTCTCTTGCTGTCTCCCACGTAAGGCACATACTGCAAAGGCAACAAAGAAGATAGAATCTAAGACCTGACAAGAGAAAGAAACAGAGAAAGGTAGGTGAAATAAAAAAATTACCTTAATAACAACAACATGGTCTGGATGTTCGCCAGGCGCATAGAGGATGGCATTGCTGTTGACCATATCGTCAACAACGTTGCTCTTAGAGATTTCCTTGGAGCGGAAGGTTTGTGGGGCTGAGAGATTCATACCATCATTGTTTCCCAGATGGTTGTAACTCACAATTGATGTTGGCTGTCAGTCATCGACAACACTCTTAAAAAATCAATTTACTTCTACTTTTATGCCAAACAAAATTAGCAATAATGCATGTACAAATGATAGGCTGCCTTACATAAAAGATACACACATGGTATGAAATTGACAATTTCATACATTTACATTTAAAAAGTATATAATATAATCTTAAAATACATGAATGTATGATAATATAATGTCAGATAAGTATTAAATTTTATAGGTATGATTTTATATTATATAAAAGCTTTCAATGTAATGATAAATTTTATAATAAGACTCATAATATACATAAAAAAAAAATTTGAATTTACCTTGATACCAGCCCCCACAAGGAAATCCACCAACACAGATTTCATTTTGGTCTGACCACTCTTGAAGTCATCTCCACCAATCAAACTGTTCCTATTGATGGCAAGATCAATCAGCCCTGATGGCAACACAAACAAAGTTAACAACTTTGCATAAATAAAATTAAGTGAAAGAGAAGGGAGAGATGTATGAGGGAAAAAAGGCAAGAGGAACAAACCTGGGACAAAAGTGTTCTGAGGGCTTCCATTGATGAAAGGAATATTTTCCATAACACAAGCAATTCCATACAATGTGGAAGGAGAAATCTCGGCCTCATCTCTGTCCACGGCAGCCAAGAGGTTTTCCATGGTGTCGTTAAGTCCCACAACTAAATTACTATACCTCTCTGTGTTGGCAGTCCACAGGACAACGATCCTGTCCACTTTGGTGGCTTCCTTAAACTCCCTGAATTCATGTCAACACAGTAACAGATTCAGCATGTTTAAAGCTGAATAGGGTACTACACGAATATAAGGTATAAAGTTGTTAGATTGAAGTCAGACATACTTAATGTCTTTGATGATTTGTTGAACTTGTTCTTTCTTTGTGCCCTTGATAACATTGTTAGCACGGTCTCCTTGGTTGGCAGCAATGAAATCCGGGTCAAAGATTCCAGGGAGTGGAACCATGGATTCCATGTAAGGTCTCAACTGCTTCTGCAAATCAATGTCAAACACCTTGGCCCTGGCCATGGCATCAGCCAGGTTCATGTTACTGATGTCCCATCCCCCGAACACAATGTCGTCAGGGTTGACCTGCATATAGATTTTAACATTACAAGGTCAAATTCATCACACATCTTGGTTAATCTTTAAAAATAAAATAAAATGTTATTGGCACATTAAAATTTGTATTAAGAGATAGACAGGAAGGAAATATTTACTAATATTTCGTTTTGATACTGCATTTGTGTATATACAGTAATATACAAGACTTAGACTACAATGATTAATAGAAATGAAGTAGTATAATAAGGACTAAATTAGAGAAGGGTGTAATTTCAGGAAATGTGATAAAAATTCAAATAAAGAACTTCAATTAACTACTTCTTAGAATAGACTGATGAAAATAAATAATTAACCAATTAATCAATAGAAATCATACCATTGGAAGCAAGCTCTTAAATGGGGCATAGATTTCCTCTCCCTGGAAAGACCCAACTCGAATAGCTGAGGCTTGGGTGAGAGAGCCAAAGTAATTGGCTTGTTGAATCTTGTCCTTTGTTGCCCATGAAATGCCCCTGAGAATCATCAAATACAAATTGACCCATAAATGTTATATAGCATAAGTTTCTATTCGATTACTATAGATCAAAAGATTGGCTAAGAGGTCGAAACTAACTCTCGGTTTGCAATAACACCACCGGTGAGGGTTGAGCCGTTGTTTCCACCCCACCCCACAAGCATTACCCTGACATTCAAACAATAAATAAAGCAGAAAATTGTTTTAAAAAAAAAAAAAAAAAGCCTCTTGATTTTGAATCAAATCAGGGAGAAAGAGGAAAAAAAGGATGATGATTTGAGAGCTAACCCCAATTTAGGGACATGGGTATTGGTTTTGAATTCGTATTTGACGGTTTTGGGTTTGACAATCCATTGATAAGTGCCGTTCCTGTTCTCATGAACAAGTTCGGTGGTTTCATAGTTGTACACGGACTGAATCTCAGTTTCGGTGTACTTGACGTTAGGACTCTCAACCTTGAAATTCTCGATGAACATTTTTCCCTACCAACAAAAATGAAACAACAACAACAACAACAAAAGTAAAAAGTGTTGGAGAAGAAGAATGGCGTAAATGCTGTTCCTCTCTTCTACGAGAAATTAGCGCACGGTGGTTAAGTGCCCCTCAACTTGGGCATAGCAGCCTCTATATATATAGAGGAACCAGCGACCGTGGCTTTACACTTGTCACAACTTGTTATGGATGGTGTCCCAATTTCACTTAATTATATTTAGTGGATTATGGCTTATTATTGATTTAAGATGAGCACCTTCAAATCAAAAAATGCCATTTTTGTTATGGAAAAAAAAGTCTTGGAATAAGGAATTCGTACGAGAGAATACAATTAAGGTATAGATTGTTATGAGAGAAAATTAAGTGAAAGTAAAGACGAAGTTATGGTGTAATTCAATGAAAATGTGTCCAGAAAAAAGTCCAAATTCATTAACATGATGATACTTGTATATGGAATTATAATTTTAAAGGATAATTAAACTAGTATTAAACAATCATAAGTTGAGGAATAAATGCCAACGATCTTAAGAATTCAAATTTGAATTACCATTTTTAAATACAAATTGAATTCATCCATTAATATTTTGTAACAATTTTGATATATTCGTTCATCTTTGTTACTTTTATACTTTTGTTTTCAACTTAAACTTGTTTTATTTTAATATCACGAGATATCACTACATTATTTGAAGATAAAATTAAAAGAAATACTAGTTTCATATTGTAAGAGACTCGTATCTCATGTCATAAACACAAAGTATGTGGAATTCACTTTTTTTAATTTAATAAATAAATTAGTAGACCCCACATACTTTGTGTCTATGGTATCAGATACTATTCTCCTATAACATGGGCTTTTTGACCCTTATAACCCTTAATTAATAACTAATTACCAAATTGCCCTTCATTCAAAACTATTTCGAAAATTTACCCTCCCCAACAAACATAACACCAATCTGCTCATGTTTGACCGTTGACCACGAAACCTACCCGGGTACACCATTACCTACCCGGGTAAATTTTGAAACTCTTTATCTACCCGAGTATGTAGGGGTGTACCCGGGTAGAGTTCTTGAATCTGGGAAAATGGTTGAATTATTTACCCGGGTAAGGAGCAGTGTACCCGGGTAAACATCGACGGTAGGGTTTTAAAATACCCCAGCAGCCCCATTTCGAAAACCCACAAAAGGGGTACCCGAGTAGAGCTGCTGGAGGAGTGTCTTCTTGAGCGATTTCAGGCATAATCTTGCACCAATTCGTCTTGTTTCTGATCATCATTCGCGGACCTTGCAACCTCTCTGCCTTCTACCGATTGAAATCGATCAAAGGTGCATTTTTTTCAGTTTTTTCAATTATGTTATGATTTCTGTTCTGATTCATTGTATTTTCGTTTATATCATTTGATTCTGTCCGAATTATTTTATCAATTTGTATGTCATACGCTTACCCTAACCCTAACCCTAACCCTAACCCTAACATGTATCTAATTTCTGATTTTGGTTATTTTTTCAGTTTAATAGTGTGACACAATGACCTCTCGACGCGTTTCAAAGCTGTCAGTGACCCATTCCGAGAGAAGAACCAAGAGTCGTCACGATGGGTCGTCATCCTCTCAGCCCCAGGCTGCTTCGAGTCAGGCTCCGGACTTGACGTTCGGATATTTGTTTGAGGATGACATACCTTCACACGAGAAGTTCGTGAAGTTTTTCATGACCCGGAAGATCTGCGAACCGAAATCACTGGATTCGGCATTCTTCAACCTAGAGCGTTGTGACATTGTGCCGCTTCTTGAGCAGACACATTTACTTCACCTGGCGGAGATGCGGTGCCCATACTCGGAGGTTATGGTAAGAGCCTTCTACCAGAACCTTGGCTACTCGCAAGGCGAGCTGACTTCCCGTGTCTGCGGGATTGATATCATCATGACTGCTCCTATCTGGACGGAGCTACTGGGGTTCGATTTTGATGGTGTCACAGGAGCAACACTATATGATGGAGACAGCCATCATATATTTGGTGATTATAACCGGGAGACCATTGTTACAGAGACTAGGAGGGCAGACGCTGAGCCCGGTCATTTTGCTCATTATCCTGTTAGCAACTTGTCAGTTTCTGCTCGCATTCTTCATTATGTGGTGACACATATTATTTTCCAGCGCCCGCATAATCACTCAAAGGTGCTGGAAGGGGACTTTGTCATCCTGTGGGCCCTCCTTCACAGTCAGCAGGTGAACTGGAGGCATTACATATGCATACTGATGTGGAAGGCAGCCAAGTCAAAGAAGGCTGAATTGCCTTTTGCATTTCTGGTGCAGAAGATTCTGCATAGATTTGGAGTGCCTATGGCAACAGAGACCTTGAAGACCGCCAGAGGCTGGAATGCTATATTTGGTGAGAGGCTCCTGAAGCAGTGTGGGATCCTACCGAACAGAGCGGGTATCTGGACGTGGAAGAAGGCACCAGAACCACCTGAGATCCCATTCCACCACGATGCTGAGATGGAGGATGCACCTGCAGGTGATGTGTTGGTCTTTATGAGTTTATGCAATTTTGTGTTGTTTAATTTTTAATGTGGTATTTATAAGATGTGTTTTTCATGGTTTATGATGTAGGCCTTGATGATGATGACGATGATGATGGCGTTGCTGAGGTTGATGTCAGACCGACACGTCCCACCCGCAGTCGGCGACCACCAGCTCTTCCTGAGGGTGGATGGACACTTGATCATGTCATGGCATCCATATATGATCTGACTACTGACTTTAGAGGATATAGACAGAGCACGAGCAAGTGGCGAAACCAGATGGACACAAGGGTTGCACGGTTGGACACAAGGGTTTCACGCTTGGAGGGTTTAATTGGCGAGGGTGCCCATACTCATGAGGAGGAGGAGGAGGATGATGACAATGGGGATGACACACAATCGGATGAAGAGAATGGGGAGGACACGCCATCGGATTAGTGTATCCATAAGGTTTCATATCATTGATTTAGTTTGATGTAATGTAGTCATTTTGGTACATTTAGGAACTTTACCTACATTGCATGGATGTTTTTGTACTGGATGTTCAAAATTTGAATGAATGAAATTTTCGTTTTGCGCACGTTCAGACTTGTTGGTTCTATGCATTAGTATGGGACCTTGCATTAATATTGTCATAATTAATTTGGAAATCAATTCAACCCAAAGTACTTTAAATTTCATGTTCAACTTTCATTGGCGCACATCTTGATTACTGCATCCTATTTCTACGAAATCAATCCACCCCCAAGTCATACCGTATGTAGGTATTGCACAACAATTACCAAAATGCAAAAAAAATTGCCAAAACAGCATCTGCAACAGCATCTGCAACTGGTCTACCCGGGTACCATGAACTGGTCTACCCGGGTAGGATGTACTCGGGTATATCATTACGAGTTACCCGGGTAGACCAGTTGCAGATGCAGCAGCAGGTGCTGTTCAATCCATTTTGTTTGCATCTTGGTAATTAACGGATACATTTCAACAATACATTTCAATTTGGCAAGAATGCGTACGATTTCTCCCACATTCACCTCCGTCATATACTTCAGCCAATTTGGCAAGAATGCGTACGATTTCTCCCAGTCACCAAACAACTTAACGATGGCCTTCATTTTTGCCTTCCAGGCCTTCCTGTACGTTATGTTGTATCCATATGTTCCCTGTATCCTCTCCTGTATCAGAGCTGGTCTTGTGGATGGATCTTCCTTTAACATATCTGGAAAAAAAAATAACTTTACCATATTCTCAATTAATCTGAATCATTAAATACACAGTAGAATACATACTCATTATAGCCGCACAAATGACATTTGAATCCAACTGTCTATGATCCTGTGCTAGGCCTTGATTTAGGCATGTGTGACCTTGACCCCATTTACGGACCACCCAATTAGCTCCCTTCTTCGGCTTAATTGCCCTCATATACCAGGGACAACCGTCAGCATGGTTTTTACACTTCATAACAAATCTTGACTCGTCACTTTTTTCAACTATGGCTGTCCTGCGCCCCTTCATACAATGTATCTTCACAGCATGTTGCAATTCTGGTTTTGACCCAAATTCTTGTTGCACAAATAACGGATCTCCTAACTTCCAACCTCCGTGCAAGTCATCATCGCCATATAGGATCTCCAACTCGTCATTAGGGTGCGCCCAGTTAATGAATGAATAATGTTGGCTTTCATTCCAGAATGGCTCCTCAGACCCTGCATCTAAAGATCAACTCTCATTTGTCTGAATGAATACCACCACAAATAATAAATTGTCTAAAGCAAATGTTCAAATTTAATAACTTACCACTACTGACTGGGTCGACATGAAGTGGTGACAAGGCTGGGGTACCGAGACTTACGGCGCTCATGTCAGCCTCAAAATTACCGTCCACGTCAGTGTCTGACGAATCACCTTCTGGAATAGCACTTTCAGGTTCTCCCTCATCTTCGCTGTCCACATAGTCCTCGTCTTCATCCTCTTCATCCTCATCCAATGCTACCTGAGGAGGTGCAGAAGATCGTACAACTGTATCTTCTTGACCGGTACAGTGTGCAGTAGTGGTTGTATGCACCGGTAAAGATGAAGATTGTCCAACATCAATTTCAACATATATCTCAATATATTTTAATACTTTCCATTCAACAAACGCATCTGTTACGAACTCCACATCTTCATCATCATCTATATCGTTTCCAATGTAGTATATTGTATCCATATCCACTACAGTCTCTAACCTGGCTATCATGCGGTGGATGGAATGTATGCCTTCTGACCCCATTTTTTGAAGAATTCTCTCATTCAGTTCATTGCATGTAGTGCCCACTTTGATTTTCATCGTTTTTGTTTTTCCTTCAAATCGGACACCGTTCGGACCTTCAAAATGCCTCCCATTGTAGTAAATAACTATAGGAACCATGTTTGGACTTGAACTCATCTTTCACACAAAAATTAGATCTAGGTTTTGGGTTTGGAGGTTGGTTCGGATTTTTTAGCACAAAATGGGAGTGTGGAGATGTAATCTCAATGTCCCACCAAGATTCAGCTTTCTGAAATGATGAGAAGAAATATGTGTGATGTTTCGGATTAGAGAGGGTAAGA